GGTAAATTCTACTAAACAATTAAGAAAAAAAACCATGCTAGGAGCTCAGCTGACCTGGAAGAGAAAATGGGTGTGCTGTCAGTGTCAGAGTAGCTGATCAAAGCAACCAGTCCAAAATGAAGTGTTAATTAAGCCTTTAGTCTTTTCACTGGTATATAAAAGAGGCTAAAACAACACAAAAGTACCAACTCTGTCTCTGTTCCATTCTTTCCTGAGAAACAATACACTGGTCAAGGGTCAGATGGATCAGCACAGACATGAGGGCTATCTCAAAGTGGGGGTAGCCTAGAACAAAAGGCTTAAGTAATTTTACTGACCTTGGGTGGGGGGGGGGGACAGCCCAGGAAGGGTGTTAGGAGTGGAAAATTACTGGGTAATGAGTCACAATGGAAAAATGTCTTCCAGGTTTCCCACTCCTCCCTGCATTAAGGCGGCCTTGGCAGAGGTGCCAAAAGACAACCTTGGCCTTAGTACCAGATAAAAAGACCTAGGAATGAAAGCACCAAGGCTTGGAATGCAAATACTGTGCAAAGAGCAAGAGCAGCAGGGGAGCCTGAGTCCTTGACTACACCTCCCTTTAGACACGCTAACACACTGGCAGTACACCAAGTGTGGTGCAAGAAGAGTAGCTTTTCCTCACATGGACAGGTCTGAAAAATCACACCTAGATTTTTAACCAGGAGCCAGACTCCTCACATCAATTCCATACGAACTCTTCCAGAAAACAGAAAAGGAACACTTCCTTTCATTTTATAACAGCAGCATTATCCTGATACCAAAACTCAACCAAAGCAACCTATAAAGCAATATAGCTCATAAATACATACAAAAATTTTAGCAAGGACACATTTATAACTGACTTTATTCACATAAAAACAAACTATGTAACCAAAATATATGTATCTCCATAACCTAAAATTAAAAAAAAAATTTAATCAAATCTAATTCACCAATACAGAAAAATAATAATAGTGACCAAGTTGGGTTTGATGCAAGATTGGTTTAATAATCAAAATTCAATCAATGTAATTTGCCATATAACTGGTCTAAAAGCAAAACAAAATCATAGTTGAAAACACATTTGACAAAATTCTACACCCATTCATGACAAAAAATACTCAGAATCAGGATAGAAGGCAATTTCCTTAAACTAAGAGGGCAGAAATTGGCAAACGTTTTTCTGTAAGAGGCTAGAAAATAATTATTTTAGGCTTTGTAGACCAAATTATCTCTATCACACTCTTAACTCTGTTGGTGTAATATAAAAGCAGCCACAGACAATATGTACACAAACAAGTATAGCTATGTTCCAATAAAACTTTATTTATAAAAACAGTGGCCATGCTTGACTTGCTGCAGGCTGTAGTTTGCCAACACCTACAAATTAGTGCATTAAAAAAAGCAAACATACTTAACATACTAAGATCAATGCATTTTTCCTCCAATACTGGGGGAAAGGCAGGATGTCCACCTCTATTCAACACTGTACTGCAAGTCCTAGCAAATGTGGTAAGAATGGAAAAAATATATAAAGACATACAAAGTGCAAGGAAGATATAAAACTATCTTTATTCACAGAAGCCATGTTCATGAATATAAAAAGTCCTAGAGAACATATCCAAAAGCTTTTAGAAGTATGATAATAAATGAATAAATGAGTTTAACAAGGTTGCAGAATATAAGGTTAATATACCAAAAAAACAAAACAAAACAAGTCAGCTATATACCAGTAGCCAAATATTGGAAAGTAAAAAAAAAAAAAAGCCAACAAAAAACTTCAACTACTTAAGCCAAGAGATGACTCCAATCTAGCCAACAACTTAATTGCAGCCTTGTGAAAGAGATTAAGCCACAGGACCCTAGTAAAGCTCCTGCCCAGATTCTTGACCCATAGAAAAAGTGAGGTAATAGTTGTTTATTCTAAGAAGCTATTAAGTTTTTTTCTTGTATTTATTTATTTACTTTTATTGTTTGGGTTTCATTGAGGGTACAAAGAATTAGGGTGCACTGATTGCATGTATTAGATAAAGTCCCTCTTATAATTGTGTTGAAGCTATTAGGTTTTGAGGTGCATTGTTACATAGCCACAAAGTATGCCTGGTGTCATGGTAATACACCTAGGTGAACACAGGAGCAACAGAGGTACTCTCACATCACTGGTGGGAACACAAAATGGTACAGCCCCCGCAGAGAAGTCCTACAGCTACTCATAAAGTTATATATCCACTTACCGTGTGAATTTCTACTCCTGTGCCCACAAAGACTTGTACTAGAATGTTCACAGCTGCGGTATTCATGTTAACTTCCCACCAAAAATGACCGAAATGTACATCAAGTGGTGAATGGATCCACAAATTTCTGACACATCCATACAATGCAATACCCTTCAGCAATATAAAGGACTACAATTATGGATAAACCTCAAATGTATTATGTGAGTAAAAGAAGCAAGACAAAAAAAAAATGCGTATGGTCCTATTCATGTAAAATTCTAAACAAGGCAAAACTTTAGTGACAAGTCAGTGGTTGCCATGCTAGGAATGGAGATAGAAGAGTATCTACAAAAAAGGAATTAGAGACTGGGTGGAGTGGCTCATGCCTATAATCCCAGCCCTCAGGGAGGCCAAGGCAGGTAGATTGCTAGAGTCCACAAGTTCGAGACCAGCCTGAGCAAGAGCAAGACTCATCTCTTTTAAGAACAGAAACACTAGCTGGGTGTCTTGGCCAGTGACTATAATCCTAGCTACTCAGGAGGTTGAAGCAAAAAGATCTCTCAAGCCCAAGAGTTTGAGGTTGCTGTGAGTTATGATTCCATGATACTCCTCTACACAGGGTAACAAGAGTGAGACTCTGTCCCCCTGACAAAAAATAAATAAATAGGCTCGGCGCCTATAGCTCAACCGGCTAAGGCGCCAGCCACGTACACCTAAGCTGTCGGGTTCG